AGGTCAAAATCCATTCCCCTTACATTATTCATCCAAGTTTCAGAAATAGCAATTATATTAAAAGAATGTTTTAGACTACTAAGATAATGTTTTATGCTCTGAAAGTTTGCGTATAAACTTCTGCTATTAAAGTGAATTAATGATAGTTTGTTCTCAGTCTTGACATTGCTGTTAAACTGCTCATCTGTGTAATACTTGCAGTTATTTTCAGAGTTCTTAAAAAATTTTATTTCAAGGTCAAAATCTTCGTCCGGTTCATGATAATGAATTTCAGTATCTCCAGTAGTGTTCAGTTCCAGCTCCAGTCCCTCAAAATCTATTAACTTCTGTAACAAATCATTTGCATCATTCCGTACATGGGTTATGCTTGTTGTTGTTGGTTTCAACGCTCATCTGCTGTGTATTCATCCGGAATGGCATCTGGCATAAAACATGCCAAGTTTAACATGCAAATTTTGCTGTGGCAACCTCTAATGGGAGCAGCCCGAAAGTGGAAGAGTGATTTCAGATGTGGAAAAAAGTTTACTGTTAATTTATTAGGTGTCAGAACATAAAGAGTTATGGTCTGTTCACATTACAGCTGAAAAACGAAGGCCTTGCATTTTGTGTTCTGTGCCAGTAAGTGCCAAAACTCAAGTAGAAATTCCTGTGAGGCACTGCACAAAATTGCGCTTTCTTAGCTATAATGCTAGTGTTGCTAGCACTAGATCACAACGTTTTACAGGCTCAAACTGCGTTCTTTTTTAAACAGTCTTGATAGTAGCACTTGCATGCTGATGTGTTGCTAGCTAAACAGGTTGTCTGTCTTTCACCATATTATTGTACACTTTGGGAAATTCAGAAACATTGGTTACATGTTATAACCCGAGATTCTGTGAGCATCGGCACAGCCAAGATGAAATAGAACACAACAATGATGAGGTGTGTGAAAAAAACATTTTTGTTTAGTCTCACAGCTCATATCAACCATGCTTCCAGCAGCAGCTCTAAAAACTGACCTCACAACAATTAGCTCAACGCTAAATAGCAGAGAAGTAACAACTTTAAATCATAATGTTTATGCCTGCCTATTTTTAAACAATGTGTGATATGAGGGGTGGCATGGTGGTGCAGTGGTTAGTGCCTTGCCTCACAGCAAGAACCCGTGCCTTTCTGGGTGGAGTTTGCATGTTCTCCCTTTGCCTGCAGCATAGATAATGAATGCATGGTTCCCTCTGTTAAATAGAAAAAGGGTTTGTAGATAAGCATTAGTATTACTTAAATTAAGGTATTAAAAAAACAATATCCAGCTCAGGGTAGTTACATAAAGTAATGTGACATTAAACTCTAAACTCAAGATGGCTTCATCCATGTCAAATACCTACAGAGCACTGCAGATGAAATCTTCCCACACTTTCACCAAATGTGAAATGATAAATATTAGAATCAAAATAAATGCATTATCACATCTGTGTGTTGCTTTCAGTCCATCTGCAGCTTCTGCTCTGTGGAGCAATAGGAGTCAGAGCTGGATCTAACACACACTTTCCAATCTCCTGTAGGACTGAAACAAATATGAGGCTCACTTAACCAGTGGAAACAGCCCACCTCCCCTAACTGCATTGATCTCTGCTAGAATATTTGACTTAATGGAAAGCGGCTTATTCAGCATCTCTGCTCTCAGGCACTGTGTAAGAAAGAGTGCCTTACTGCAGCGTCAAATGTCATTTGCAAATCAAGCATCAGCTAACAATTGCAACGAGTCTTTGTACTTTTGTGATCACAGGTTTGCTTATAGAAATCCAAAAACATCACTCTTCAATCTAAGTAATTATCAGCCTTACTGCAGTCTCATGCACATCACTTAAATGCTAAGCTATGATTAGACAATTGTGTTTAACAAACTGTCAGTTGACAGCAGGAGTATAGAAGATGCCATCTGTGATTAACACTTATTAATCTCTCCGTGTAGATTTTACTGATTTATTGTCAGAGACAACTGTAAACTCTACACTACTGCAGTGAAAATATTTTGAGGTTTGTTGTGTAACCTTCTCTTCTGAGCGCTGAGAGAGTTTAGGTTCTTGCTGTTCCCTTTGTTATGCAGAAATCGATGCCATGTACCCACACTGCTCTCGACACCCCCACACATACTGTACAGTGCAACATTTTTGGTTTGATTATGTAAGCCTGGATCGACAGAAATAGAGACACTGTCCAGGCTGGCGAGCCGTCTAGGAGACAGCACAGACACATATAGTGTTGTTGGTTCACATTATCAAGAGAATTACTGCACTGTTGTTTATTGCATATTTTTAGAGAAACCTTGCACTTACAGAATCATGGAGACATCTCTTAAATCACCCCCACACAAGATACCAGTAGTTTCACTGTTTAGTTGTACATATATCCATTACATATTGTAGTACAGAATATGTACTACAATATGTACCATGTTTCATCATGGTGCTACACGTAATGTCACTGTAAAAGAACCAGTAGAGAGAATATTACAGACGCAATGGAATCGTTTAGCTAATTAGAAATTTATTGATGAAATACAACACTGTACCATCACAATATATGTTCCTTTTCAATGAATGCAACAATTACTGTAGTTACAAAAAATAAAAAACTAGAGTACTATCTTTTCATGGATAGTACTCCAGTTTCAAAATGCAGTGTTCTTCACCTGCCTAACAAAAAGCAAAACGAAGGATTACAGTTCTCCCTCATTTCCATTAACCCTGTCACACGGATTTGGCCGCAGGTTCTCCTCCACATCATAATAAATGTTCTCATTTGCCAGACATCTTCACACATGTTGAATCCAGGCCTGACACTGGTCTGCTGTGATGTCGTTGCATGCCTCATCCACGGCTTAGAGAAGGGTCACTTGTTGGTGTCAGTGGATCTTGTTATCCTGAAACCATCATGATGTGAACATGATGTGATATTGTTCCCCATTTTCCATAAAACTGTGCTTTAGGAGGAATGTACAGTTACATTTTGAGCAGTTGTATCAATTGACAGTTAGATCACTGTAATGAAATAAAAAATGCACTGTGTGAATTGCATTTTGAAATGGTGATACTTTGATGTTAAGTTGTGTCATTTTGAACTGGTGATTTCAGTTCAGTGAACAACTATTTTATATCTATTGTCTCCAAGCAATTGGAAAAAGTGTTAGAAATTTGAAAAATGTGTATTTTGATTATCGGTTGGGAGTTTTGTGTCTACAGTTTTGAAAAATGACATCAAGGCTCTGAAATTAGTGCCAAGGTGAAAAAACTGTAATAGCATTTTAGAGATTTGATCAAAGATAAAATATTCCATCACTGTAATGTTACAAATATTAATCTTAAGATGTAATTGTAGATTGTTTTGTTAGCTCAGCAACCTGGACATCTCACATGGAGACCTGTCAGCAGCAATATGAGCTTTGAAGCCCCCCCCCATATACTGTACTGTACACCCACTCCAGGAGTTCACATCACAGCAGCTCATGCCCATTCTACTATGAGTCACATTTAAATGATTCACAATGGCTTGTCCAACCAAAATAAAATCTACTTCTTTGACTCTATTTGCATTATGGAAAATGTATGATGCAGTGTGTTTGGAGTCATTTGGCCTCTGTTGCTTCAATGTTTTAATCTGTCTCTTGAAAGTCCCATTACTTTATGTACTGCAAACACCATATAAAATCATTGGAAGACTTCTTTACTCTGTAACAGCTGCTGTGTTTAGAAAGCAAGAGTTTTGTAAAAGGCATAAAATGTGTAGTAATTTGATGGAAACCAGACATCCAGTTATTCGGAATTTTTTTTTTTATGACATTAACCCCCAGTCACCTGCATAGGGTACATCAGTAACAAGGCTAAGGGCACATATTCCTTGTGTGTATAAACAGAGCTGACATATAAAAAGGTCTGAAAACATGGGCTGTTTTACTGAGACCAGTACAGATGAGATGGCAGAACACAATCATCGCTGCCTGAGATTCTACACTAAACATGGGAAAGCTATGGAAACTGTCATTGTTTCCTACCAATTGAAAACCCTCTGCTTACTGTGACGTTAGCACATGGTTTGATAGCTGGCTTATGGTTTAACATTATGTCAATGCTCAAAGTCAGTGCTGCCTCATATCTTTGTTCATGACCATTGTCTCTGAAAGACTGCATTTCTATTTTTTAACATTATGCAGATTATATTTAGATGTGTTTTTTATCTTCAGCATTATCCGTGACCCACTCATGGATAAGCAGAAGAAAATGGATGGACATAATGAGTCCTTTTTTTTCATTCTTTTCTCTTCCAGGGATCACCACTGTCCTGACCATGACAACCATCAACACCCATTTGAGAGAGACTCTGCCCAAGATCCCCTACGTCAAAGCTATAGACATGTACCTGATGGGCTGCTTCGTGTTCGTCTTCCTGGCTTTGCTGGAATATGCCTTTGTCAACTACATCTTCTTTGGACGAGGACCTCAGTTGCAGAAGAAACTGGCTGAGAGGGAAACAAAGGCAAATAATGACCGGAATAAATTTGACAGGCCCAAGGTGAGAGTCATGTAATACAGATTTTTTTCACATAGCTGGGAGGTTCAGAGAAACTGGTTCTATAAGGTCTGTTAGCAATACCAACCTGTTTTTAAATGAATCCTAGGGCTGGATATTATGACTATAGGGCTATATTATCACTATGATGCTGATCTTAATAGCAATGTTTTCTGGCTTGATCTTCAGCTAATGAATACTGTCAGAAGTATAAGGGATTAAATAATAACCAAACAATTTAGTGTGGATTACTCTTATTATACTATACCATCTCCACTACACAAAGAACAAAAATATACAGGCAGATTTGTTCATTTATAATTTGGCTAATCTTTCATTTGTGTGCACCCACTGCAAGACAAAGTGAATTCAATAGTCAAATTTTAATGTACATTTTCATGTTTGAAGGTGCATCATTGCAATCAAGACTGCGGTCACAATGGAAGTAATATATGCAGTATTTATAGCAATCTTGCCATATTTAAAATAAAATGTTGCACTTTTTGCATTCACAGTTTCAAGCTGTCTCACAAAGTGCTACCTACTGTACACTTGATAAATGGACTTGGATCTGAACATGCTGTGGCTTTAGTATATTATGGTTTATTTTTTGGAGACCAGTAACACTGCAGTAACAAATTGCCTTTTCATCTGAATAAAGTCAGCATGGTGTCTGAAACCTATCTGTGTTCTTTAAAGCTGGTTATTGGTTGCATAAAGCCAAGACTGGTCTGTAAACAGAGCTGGTTCACTTCAAATCGCAGACAGCAGCTTCCACATGCAGAAGTCAACAGTTACTGTAATTACTATCATTACCTGAAAGTTTTACATTTCAAAGGACCATTTCACTTAAAATTTTATTGTAAAATTTGCTTTGGAATATATTGCAAATTATATGGATTAATTTCATTTTAATTGTGATGTCTACCTAAATAGTGCATTATCAAACATGGAAGTAAAGATAAAGCCTAGATTGCAAATTTTTATAAAACTGAAGCTTGATTAAGAGATATCAAAACAATGGTTGGACCCAGGCTGGTCAACACGTGTCAACAACTTCCTTTCTGAGCCGTTTGTACCCGCTGTGCTTCCCCTCCTCCTGACCGTGAAGCTCTGTGAGCACCTCAGCTACAGTAACACCAGACCAAAGCTGAGACAAAGGGGTTTGTGTTTGTGTCTCTCCTGGCTAGTCTGTTCTGGAAGGAGGCAATTGCAAGTCTTCGTCTGTTAAACAATCCAATCAGGTACAAGGACGCCGTCACTCACGACGGGTGAGTGTCTGTCTCTACCTGTTGTGTCACATCTGTGAAACCTCCACTGGAACTTTGCTGCTGCGGTGCAAAGTTTGACCGCCTCAGTTAACAAAGGAACATGCTTAATCACATTTCAACCAGCCATTTCTGTAGTCATCACCATCACGTACACGTATGTGTATATAGTTTTGCTCTGTGGTGTTCTACCTTATTATAGTTTTCATGCTTGTGTGTCTCTGTTTACTCAAACCAACACTCAGCTCCCTTCTCTGTTTTGTACAGATGTTTTGAATTCAGACTTTGACTGCTATTGTGTAATTTATTAAAGGGGCTGCTCAGTGCTGGGAATCATCATCCATACAATATTAATTGGCATTAGCTTAAAATGTTACTTTGTATTTAATATGCTATGCAGTAATAACAAAAACATGTATAATGATGGATTTTATTTGTTGTCCTACTCATTATTTAGATTACTAGGTAGTTATGCATACACAACACAGGGACTTCCATGCACAGGGTCCCACAGAGTGTTTCCATAAGTGAGTAAACTAACACTAATAATAAAGGAAACAAAGACTTTTATATCACGATTCAGGATTAATTTTCTGAAAATCCAAATTCATATGAACTTGTAAAATTTTCTAAAATTCTTTGTCTACTTTTTGATGTTATAAGTATTATAAATTATAGTTTATTTTGAAAACTCTCCACCACTGTGATGAATGCTAAACATAACCTACTGTAGTTGTCTAAAGTGCCAGATTAATATACATTTTGCATATACATTAATATACATTTAATGTACTCATGCTTGTGCATGAGTACATTAAAAACTAATAGACAGTATGATGCAGACACCAAACAACGTTTTCTGGTGGTTGCATTTCTACTAAAGTTTAACATTGTCCATGGCATTGATGGTGTAATAAATGCAGTGAGATTTTTTATTCTTTTATGTTCCACATTTTTAAGGAACTAAATGAAGTTCAGAAGCTTAGAGCCATATGAATATAATTTATCGGGTGTCATCTTACCAAATGAGATGAAGGGAGGCCATAAGGTGTTGTAGGGTGTTTGTAGTCTAAATGATCAAAATGTTCCTTCTTAATTAAATTAAATGTAAATTATTTCCTTAGCCTCCCACAACTGAAGTACATCACCAATCCAAATAGCAAAACAGGGGTTTTCCCATAAGCGATAAAAAGAGCATTGACATTTCTCACCCAGATTTTATTTAGAATAACTGGATTGGCAGTTGGTTTTTTAAATTTTAAGTTTAACCTCTAGAGTCCTGAGCTTTGGAAACCCAAGCTGTGCGGTCCTCATATGAGGACGCAGGGACTCTAGAGGTTAAAATAAGGCAGTTTTTCTGTATGTAGGTGATGATTTGACCTGATTTAGGAGGCTGTTTGAAACATTTGTCTCTATGTAAAGACATGCTGCCTCTTGGAATTTATACTGTAATTTATATTTTTTGTTTCCAGCCATGTGCAACCCCTGCAAAGAATTGGTAAAAGGACTTAACTTGACCTGAGCTTTAGGTGATATTTCTGTTATATAAAAGAGATCTACGTGTGCTTGTGGATGTGTTTGGGTATGGTGGTGGTGCAGTAGCTGGACTCTCAGAGTGCTCCTTTTATCAGCGACATTATGGAATAAGATCAGTTTCTGTTATTAGTTTGCACCAGAGTTGACAGAGTAAGAACAGAAATGTTCACCTTGTCATGTCCTCTCATGTCTTGTACGCCACATTGTTATATTACTGTGTACATCTTGTGCCTCTATTTTTGCCACACAGGTCTGAATGATTCATTTGTTTTTGTGTTGGAAGCAGTGTCTGTCATGACATTAGTATTATAAGTATCGGGTCCAACCTTGAGCTGATTTGTGAGAGGTGATTTAACTCTGGGACAGGAAACCTGCTTTTGAAGGCCCTTCTCTGTTTCCCAGGCTGTAATCTGTCAACCTGCTAGATGAAACCGGCCCAGGGCCCTGACGCATGATGTGCATGTGTCATCAGTCACTGAAGCCTCAGCTTACAGCCCATTTTTAATGCTGCTCCTGTCTGTTGTGCCTAGGTCGACTCCCAGGGGAACATTTTGCTGACAACCTTGGAGATTCACAACGAGGTGGGAGGCAATGAGATCACGACCACTGTGAGCGAGTCACACAACTCCTCCTCAATGGTGTTCGACAACTCAGGGGTCCAGTACAGGAAGCCAAGTGGGCCACGAGCGCTGGGTCGTCACAGCACGGATCGGAACGCGCATCTAAAGAAGACACGTCTGCGGAGACGATCCTCACAGCTCAAAATCAAAATCCCAGACCTCACCGATGTGAACGCCATTGATCGATGGTCACGGATAATATTCCCCTGTACCTTCTCCCTCTTCAACCTAATCTACTGGCTTTACTATGTCAATTAATGCACTGATTTTTTAAAACCCATCCCTGTCTCACTCTTGTTTTTGAATGAAAGCAGATAATATGGTGTAATCCTTACGATCATTTTTTCTATTGTAGCGAGTGCAGAGAACTATCGCTCAGACAGTGTGCATCTGTTTATGCGCGGTCACAAGGATAAAGGCTTTCATAATACTTTCTGCTCTGACTCTTGAAGACTGGGACATCTTACATCATGGGTTGACTCTTTGTATTTACACTGCTTTATGTCGGTTATTACAGCAGCTCCCATAATTTCAAAGTGTGGTCACTCTATTACAAATTAATGCTACTGACAAAATGACAGAGGAATATTCATAGTAATGTTCCTGTGCATCTCAAGTCGTCCATCAATTTGCACATGGACAAATATGGACAGTTATGAGCATATTCACCTGGTCCTAAATCTGAGTTTATGATCTAGATCTACATTTTGGGATGAAAGCTTTAGATGTTGAACTATTCCTTTAATTTGCCTTGAAGTTGGTGTCACCACCTGTTCACTTGATGTTTCAGAGTCACACTGGAACAGCTGTGACCTTGCTCCAATGATTAACTGGGGCTAAAGAAAGGCTAATGGAGTCCATACCAGCAATTTATAAAACTGTCATTATGTCGTTCACTGCCATTATTTAAAGACATAGTTTTACAGTTTGGGAAATATTTTTATTTGCACAGATACACTGAACACGTTAAACATGGATACTTTTGTCATTTTTGTTATTTAGATAAGAAAGGTAACAGTTAGCTCAGCTTAAGGACCAGAAACAAGGTGAAACTTGCCTGGGCCTCTCAAAAGGTAAAAATAATCTGCCATCTCCAAGCTCACTGATTAACTTGTTATATGTCATCTGTTTAATCTGTTCACAAGCAAAAATGGGTTAAGTGGTATTCTTAGCGCTACTTCTTAGCAGAAGACACAAGTTGTGACTTTCACAACTTGTGTCTACATTTCTGTTTGTGTGTGGATTTAAACCAAATATGACATGTTTACTTGTGAGTTTTAGAGGTGTGAGCAACCAGATGATTTGTTGCCTTTGGACAGACCCTGGCTAGCTCTTTCCTCCATTTACAACCTTAGCTAAACTAAGCTAAGCTAATCATCGCTTGGCTGTAGCTTCATATTTACCATGCAGACACGACAGTAGTATTAACCTTTTCATCTCACTCGTGATAAGAAAGCAGAGTATTTCCCACATTATAAAACTATTTCTTTAATGTTTACAATGACCCATTTTGTATTCTGTTTCAGTATTCATAGGAAATACTGTATACCCAACAATAAATGAAGCATAAGTTCAACATGACAGCAGAAAAAATGTTTACAAAAAACGTGTATATCTGCTCGGTTTACATTAATTTCCTTTTTTGTTATTGTGCTGTCAGGACCACTGTCGCCACATTGGATTGATTTATTCAGTACAACATAATTCACATGGTGACTTTCAGACTGTAGGTTGTGTTGGGGACTGAGTGCAGAGTCACTGTTGCAACTCATTAGATCTTTATCAACCTTCACCTCAGATTTCTTGATACTCCCTTAAATTTATTGTACATATTGCGTGTATTTTCTTTCAGCTCACATTAATTACATGGCTATGTTGTCAACAGTGTTTTGCTCAGTGATTTCTGGCCTCACTGCTGTTTTATTGTTTTGGTAGTACCATAATTTCCTATTTGTGTTGTGTATATATAAAACACAGTGTCACAGCTTGTGATTATTTCCATTCTTTCCTAAAGGAGAAAGTCATTTACGCGAAATACTGTAAGTGATGAAGGAATAAAGGGTATATAGGCCTAGTACTTCCAAAACAACAACTGCTGGCATACACAGCTCTCAGTGCACCATCTGCACTGCTTGGTTGAGCAACTTGCAGCTCGTAGGAGTGACACCACCTGTCAGTAGTCCACTCAGCTCTGCAACAACCTTGTTCTACCGCCTGCTGGAGTCCAGCATCCCATAACAAATCAAGTAGAAAGGCATAACTAATGTACCACTGCTTTGTAAGACTCTCCCGACCTGCAAGAACACTTTTAATATTTACTGCGCTTACATTTTCATCATATTCTGTAATAATTGCTCAGTTTGTTTAATAATTGCCAACAATTACCACATCAGCTACAGATTTACTGTACACTTCTACTGTGTGTCACATATGCAAAATAGTGTAGATTTGACAAAACAGCAAAGACTTGATGGGTTTGTTTTTTAACTTCTGTTGCATATAAACAGTGTAGAAATTGTTTATAACACCCTATAATGTAAGCAGCAGCAAAGACAATTTGAAGTGTTATGTTTATCAGTAATTTTAATGTTATCAAGCATCTCTAACCTTATATATTACCACATCATGAATGATACAGTACAACATAGCTGTAATATGACACATTAAAAAATACAGTTTTTTTAGATTTAATTAACATGTACAGATCATTCACAGGTGGGTTAAAATTGTTTTTAAATGTGCAAAACTTATGAAGACATGTTGAACTTGAGGTTTCATGTTTAAACTTGGAAATAGTATAATATCTTTATACTACATATTACAGTCTAACAAAAATGAAACCTTAACTCAAGGTCCACTTACTAGAGACCTCTCAACACTTTCAGGTACAGCTCATGGTCTTCATCAATAGCATCAAGAGAGGTTTGCTCACTTCTCATGGCAAATGAAGAAATATTGTTCCCTGTAACATATTTAACCCTATAAAACATAAAACAGTTACAATAAAATAAAAAAGACATTTTATATTATACTGTCAATCACTGATTAACTGTTTGTACACCTGTAACGGATGCTGGCAGATGCATTAAACGGTTCAGTACGTTATAATCTGTTGAACTGTGTTGAATAGTAACTCATTAATATGCTAGTAAAAGAATATAAGACCACTGAGTAGAATTTAAACAAGGAGGCATCTGGGTGTAGTTTTAGGTAGAAGATGTTTCACCTTTCATCCAAGAGGCTCCATCAGTTCTGCCCGACTGGTGGTAAGCAGGAGGTATTTATCCCACTGGGTGGTGTTTCACTCCTTTGGTGGACAACAATGTCCTCTAACAACTGAGTCGTTAGGGTCTGGTGGACCAACGCCTATTGTTATGGTGTTAATTGGGGTGAAAATGTTTTGGTAGAGATTTCAAAACAGTTGTAGATTGATGACAAGTTGTGTCTTAGTCCACCACCCCTATTTAGTGAGGGGTGTTCTATTTTTACAAAAATAGCTTCCTTGACTCCTCTCTCAAACCAGCGATGTTCTCTGGAGAGGATCTGGACTTCACTGTCCTCAAAAGAATGTCCTTTGTCCTTCAGGTGGAGGTGGACTGCTGACTCTGGTTCACTGGAGTTGGCCCTCCTGTGTTGGGCCATGCGCTTGTGCAATGGCTGTTTTGTTTCCCTAATGTAGAGATCATTACACTCCTGACTACACTTAATTTCATACACCACATCACTCTGTTCGTGTCTGGGTGTTTTTTCCTTCGGATGGACCAGTCTCTGCCAAAGGGTGTTCTCTTGCTTAAAGCTGACTGGGATATTTTGGTTGTGGAAAATCCTTTTCAGTTTCTCTGATAAACCAGTCACATAAGGGATGACAGTATTATCCCCTCTTGTTTCTGGTTTCTCTCTGTTGGCGTTGGGCCTCTTCCTTGCTTTGGTGAAGACCCACTTGGGGTATCCACAAACTCTCTGACTCTACCGTGAGGAAGAACACAGCAACCACAGCGACATGGCAGAAGTAGTGCCAGCCGCAGCTCCCACCACCACCTCGGCCAAAGCGCACAAAGAGAAGGCGGGGGTACAGTGGGTAGAGCAGTCATCTCCCAACCAGAAGGCTGAGGGTTTGAATCTCGGTGCCCGCTGTCCACATGTCGAAGTGTCCTTGGGCCTATGATGGTGGCGCATATGCACGCAGCAGCCTGGGGCCCTCAGCTTCACACAAAGTTTTGTTGTACGTGTCACAATGACAATAGCATAAAGCTTCTTCTTAAGGGAATTCTTGTTGTTCATCCTTTTTGATCCCTTCTGCGGTTGTGGGTACTTCCTGGGCCCTGTGATTTAAGGTACAGATAACTCCAATGACTAAGTTGTTAAAGGACATTGTTGGCCGTCAAAGGACTGAAACCCCACCCAGTGGGATAAATACGTCCTGCTCACCACTAGTCAGGCATAACTGATGGAGCCTCTTGGATGAGAGGTGAAATGTCTTCTCCCTAAAACTACATCCAGATGCTTTCTTCTAAGTTTTTTCAGCATACTATGACCTGGATGACTGGGAATTTGCACAGACAATTTAAACAAGGCTACACACAGAAATGGCCTGCCTCTTAGAAGAAATCCTCTAATATCCTTTATCTGGATACACTAAACCTTTCAGGATTTCTCAGAAATCTTGATACAATAATACAGATAAAAAGCAAACAAAAGAATGAAAATTATAATGGCATGTAATCAGTCTAGTCTATCCATCCATCCATTACCTATGTCAATACTGTTTATCTTAGAGGCTTGCTAACAAGATGATGTTCAGTAGGTGTAAAGTTTGACACATTTATTATCTACTGTCTTATTTTAACACAGCTGCATGCACAGCTGAGGACAGTGAGAATGCCATTATGTCTGCAGGTCAGTGAAGTCATGAGGATTCATCTTATGGGTACCATGAATGTTAAACCCTTGAAACAAAAATCAGCAACTTGAACTCTATTCTAACCCAAACTAGAAGCCAGTGAAGGGAGGCCAGTCTAGGGGTTATATGCTCATATTTACTTGAGCTTGTCAAAAGGCAAGCAGCAGCATTTTGGACCATCTGAAGATGCAAAAAAAGAGATTAACTGATTCCAGAATACAACAAATTACGATCGTCAAGCCTAGAGCTGACTAAAACGTGAATTGCAATTTCAAAGTCATTAAAAGAAAGAAAAGACTTCACTTTACTCAGTAATTGTAAGTGGAAAAAACTTGGTTTTATAACTGAGTTAATCTGTTTATCAGACCTCCAGCTTCCAGTGTTTGCTGAGGTATTTCATAAATAAACACCTTTCACATATCATGTGTATTTACTGTTAATAATAAAGTCAAGGCATAAATAAAGAGCACTCAAATAAATATAACAGACATGATCAATGTTTTATTCTGTGTTCATATAAACGAACAGCAGGTGACTGTGTGGAAAGTATACACTATACATAAAATGTTCTAATAATACATTAAAAGATAGGTTCACAATGTTTCTGGTCTGTCTTAAAACAACAATCATAATATTCTGACCATGAGTGGCAAATAGAAAAGTGTTAGGAAGAGATCACTTCTAAGTGTATTAGTGCACATATAGACATGTGAATATTGTAGGATAGACTTGGAAAAATGTAACCCCATCCTTTAATAATGAAATAATTTTTACCTGTTTATTTTTTACTTAAAGATCTAACTAAAATTTTCCCACTTTTGCTTCTTGGACCAAGTTTCATGTTTCTGAGTCACTTCAAAATATATTATTAAGAGAATCTGCACAGACATATTATTAAGAAATTATAGACCCATAAAAGAAAGCATTACCAAATC